TCGCGGTTTGTGGCACTGCAAAGCTAAGATTTGAAACTAGTTCCTGTCCAAATTTCATCATCCTATCTCAACTGGTTTGACCGTGGTGAAGCTGCAAAATTTGGATTTTCAAAAAAGGCAAAATTGGCAAATTTCAACAGGTAGCTACCTGTGGTACCAAAATCCATTTTTGGGTCGAATTTTTTTGGTCCCGGAAATCGATGAAACCTGGTTTTTTGGACTCGGTGCTTCTCTAGCTCTCCCCCAATATGCATAAAAGTAAATTCTGAGCACTTTTTTATTTTGCGGAAAAGTGCCAAAAAATCCGGTTTTTCATGGACAAAACTAAAACGCTCAATGCTTCCAAAGTAAGGCAGATATGGAATCGCGGTTTGTGGCATTGCAAAGCTAAGATTTCAAACTAGTACCTGTCAAAATTTCAGCATCCTATCTCAACAGGTTTGACCGTGGTGAAGCTGCAAAATTTGGATTTTCAAAAAAGTCAAAATTGGCCAATTTCAACAGGTAGCTACCTGTGGTACCAAAATCCATTTTTGGGTCGAATTTTTTTGGTCTCGGAAATCGATGTAACCTGGTTTTTTGGACTCGGTGCTTCTCTAGCTCTCTCCCAATGTGCATAAAAGTGAATTCTGAGCACTTTTTTATTTTGCGGAAAAGTGCCAAAAAATCCGGTTTTTCATGGACAAAACTAAAACGCTCAGTGCTCCCAAAGTAAGGCAGATATGGAATCGCGGTTTGTGGCATTGCAAAGCTAAGATTTCAAACTAGTACCTGTCAAAATTTCATCATCCTATCTCAAGTGGTTTGACCGTGGTGAAGCTGCAAAGTTTGGATTTTCAAAAAAGGCAAAATTGGCAAATTTCAACAGGTAGCTACCTGTGGTACAAAAATCCATTTTTGGGTCGAATTTTTTTGGTCTCGGAAATCGATGTTACCCGGTTTTTTGGACTCGGTGCTTCTCTAGCTCTCCCCCAATGTGCATAAAAGTGAATTCTGAGCACTTTTTTTTTTTGCGGAAAAGTGCCAAAAAATCCGGTTTTTCATGGACAAAACTAAAACGCTCAGTGCTTCCAAAGTAAGGCAGATATGGAATCGCGGTTTGTGGCATTGCAAAGCTAAGATTTCAAACTAGTACCTGTCAAAATTTCATCATCCTATCTCAAGTGGTTTGACCGTGGTGAAGCTGCAAAGTTTGGATTTTCAAAAAAGGCAAAATTGGCAAATTTCAACAGGTAGCTACCTGTAGTACCAAAATCCATTTTTGGGTCGAATTTTTTTGGTCTCGGAAATCGATGTTACCCGGTTTTTTGGACTCGGTGCTTCTCTAGCTCTCCCCCAATGTGCATATCAAGCTGAATTCTGAGCACTTTTTTTTTTTGCGGAAAAGTGCCAAAAAATCCGGTTTTTCATGGACAAAACTAAAACGCTCAGTGCTTCCAAAGTAAGGCAGATATGGAATCGCGGTTTGTGGCATTGCAAAGCTAAGATTTCAAACTAGTACCTGTCAAAATTTCATCATCCTATCTCAAGTGGTTTGACCGTGGTGAAGCTGCAAAGTTTGGATTTTCAAAAAAGGCAAAATTGGCAAATTTCAACAGGTAGCTACCTGTGGTAACAAAATCCATTTTTGGGTCGAATTTTTTTGGTCTCGGAAATCGATGTTACCCGGTTTTTTGGACTCGGTGCTTCTCTAGCTCTCCCCCAATGTGCATAAAAGTGAATTCTGAGCACTTTTTTTTTTTGCGGAAAAGTGCCAAAAAATCCGGTTTTTCATGGACAAAACTAAAACGCTCAGTGCTTCCAAAGTAAGGCAGATATGGAATCGCGGTTTGTAGCATTGCAAAGCTAAGATTTCAAACTAGTACCTGTCAAAATTTCATCATCCTATCTCAAGTGGTTTGACCGTGGTGAAGCTGCAAAGTTTGGATTTTCAAAAAAGGCAAAATTGGCAAATTTCAACAGGTAGCTACCTGTGGTACCAAAATCCATTTTTGGGTCGAATTTTTTTGGTCTCGGAAATCGATGTTACCCGGTTTTTTGGACTCGGTGCTTCTCTAGCTCTCCCCCAATGTGCATAAAAGTGAATTCTGAGAACTTTTTTTTTGCGGAAAAGT